TAGTCTGACAGGGCATGGACAAAAGCCAATGAGAAACCAGTGGAGGGGGGAGGAGGCGAAAAATCATGAAGGAATGGAAAAAATCTGCAGTTTCAATAATATTTATAGAAGGACATAGAATTGACAGACAAAACTGATAACATTTTTGATACATAGAAATTATACAGACCCAAAAGTGCCAAGAGGTATTACAGAATATTTCTGAATAGGGTGAAAAGAGAGGTTCTGTTGCCAGACATATATAGCCATGCATAGATACATCCAAGAGCAATAAATAGTGACCGACCTTGCCTGGGAGAACAGCAGGGTTGGAAAGACCTAGGGAGCACGGCTCATGTGCAATCATGTGCAAGTTCTCAGCCAGACACTGCAGATGTCTTTAAACATCTTTTATCCACACATGACATTGGTATCCTTTGTCCTGCATTACAATCAGAAATTGGAATAGATGGACCAAAGACTCCTGACCATGATTCCAGACTGGAAAAAAAATGTTTTGAAAGTGAAAAGCTTAATTACTTTGCTCCTAAAAAAGAAAGACAAGTGAACATTTTTACGCAGTGCCTGAAGTCACTTCATGATGTTGGTCTAGGTGGCAGTTACATCAGGCTGCTAAAGACAAATGAGGATTTTGAGGAGATGGGGGAGATGGAGGCCATGTGATATTTGGTACCTGGTGTCCAGCACCTAAACCAGTATCCAACGTGGCGACTAAAAAAATGGAGATTGCAGGGATTAAAAACCACCTGTTTTATTTTCCCCTTCTGTCGCAGGACTCACACCAAGGTCAACAGAAGTTGCTCACTTGTTTGTTGGAGGTTTGGGCAATGTCACAAGAGGGCTTTGAGGCCTGCATGTAGTATTTCTCATTTAGCAACCTTGAATTTCATCCAGCATTTTAATCACCCAGTCACTTGGTCACAAGATCTTCTTCACTGTTCCACAGGCTCATTCAGGGCTGAAAGTTTTGGGTCATTTTGTATAATCATCAACACTTTGGCACCCCATGCTCCAAATTTTTCTGAAAGTGTTGATTGGTGGAGCAGATGGCCTCAGATGCTGGCCACTCACATGTCTCAGCTGCAACCAGTCTTGCCACAAGTTTTCAACCTTGGGAGGAGAGGGTGGTCTTCCCTCTCCTCAGGCAGTTCTTTGAAAGATTTTGCCAGCCTGTTTTTTCCTAAATTACATTGCTTTTCATCATGGGGGGGGGGGGGAGGTGGGGGGGTGGTGTGAGGTGAGTGGTGAATTACTTGCAGCACAGTTAACCTGTTCATCCATTTCATGCTGGAGACCACCTGAGTCTCCCATGGGGTTTGCTGCCCTTCATGTCACAGACACATTCTCAAGTCCTGATGCTTCAGTTTTCAGTGGTGCCTTCATCTATCTCATTGCTGCTGAGGAAAATCTCCTGTCTGGCAACACCCCAAAGCTCCTCTGACAGCAAAACATCAAGTTTACTTTTCATTCATGGACTTAAGCTTCCCTAATCACTCCCACGCCATCTTGGCAGCTTTCTTATCTCCAAGATGCATTTGAAAGAGGTTTTCAGCCTTCCTTTTCTATTTGTCACATAATCTCCTTTTTTTTTTTTTTCCTTCCCTTTGTGTAGTCTCATTTACTAGTATTTATGGGTTTTTCTTTTGTTTTCATTTGACTACAGCTTCTGCTTTTTGACAGCTGCCTTTTCAAATCTTACGCTGTGAAGTATAACCCAGCACTGCTGTTCCTTCTAGGGAACACTTAATTAACTCCCTCAAGATGGTACTTCTGTAGTAAGGTAATATATGGAGGTAAGTCAGCTGTCCTAGAGTAAGAGATTACATCCAGCTCAGAAGAGTAAGTAACAAATTACTTGTTTTTTGCAGCATGTACACATTGTGATTGCCCAAAGGTAGGCAGCTTGCTGTTAATTGAAATGTGAGCACTGCTGGAGCCTGCAGGGGTATTTGCATACCCTAACTCATGAACCTGCATTTTGTGAATGGCATCAGTTATGAAGGAGGTTGAAACATCATCCTTTAAGATGTTTGTCTTTTGTGACTATGTCATAAGTCTTTCAGAGACCTCTATCTCCTCTTCCTTGCCCTGGTCTTGCCAATTGCTTTGCTTAAACACTGATTTACTTCAGAAGTGGATACAGGATGTTTTACATGTTTTTCACTGTGCTTACAAGGTCACCATTTTGTTATGTTTTGGGGTGATTTTTCAAGTGGACTTAATTATTTTCCACATCTGCTCAAGCTGGTTTTCACTACGTGGCATCTTCCTTAATGCTGAAGTTTCATGCAGACATCTCAACACAAAGGTGGTCTGAGGACCTTTCTTGGGGAAGCAATGCATGTGTATAGTCTGTGCAAATGCCAAGGAAGTATAAAATAATTGCTGTAAATGTTCAAAGTTACCATAAAACTAATTTTTTCTGTAACACCACTGCTAATTACCCTTAGCTGTCTTAAAAAAAGGAGAATAAAACGTAGAGCTTACCACCCGTAGAAATGGTTGGCTGCCCATCAGAGAAGCTGTCTCTTGGGTCAGCCAGAGAGCTTTCCCAGGTGCAACCCTCTCCTACAATGGCTCTGCACAGTGAGCCCTGGTGCCTGGCCAGCCAAGGAAGGCGGAGTCAACCCTTTAGCCAGGATCAGTGTCTTTCTGTACCTTCCCCTTGCAAGGTGCTCACAAACCAGGATGGATTCTGGCTTGTGGCTGCTGCTCTTGGAGTTGATTTGTCCCAGCAAAGTGTCACAATTGCTTTTCACTACCTTGCTGAATGAGAGCCTCTTGCTGTCTGCCTGAGCACCTGCCTTGCCTGATCAAGCATTTCTATCTGCATTCCATAACACTGTCAGCAAACCTAGAGCTCCCCTACTTGGGGGAAAACTCCTCTCCAGAGACAGAGAAGCACCTGCCACAATAGATTTCCCATCTTTATCTCAATACCATCCACAGTCATATATGTCTATTTTGCAAACTGATTAAAAAAAAATTACATGGATTTTTTTAGGTCAGGGTTGCAGTTCTCAGACAGGCTGGCCACTGAGCTGGTTTCCGTCTGTACAGAGAGGCCTTGCTGTGGTGCCATCTGTAGGCACCATGTCTGGATGCAAACTAAGGATTTGGAAGAGCTGTGCATTTTAGGGAGGTTATATTAGTGAGAAGAAACCAAGCCCTCCAGGCAGTCCAAAAGCTGCATGACTAGTTTGTCACACTCACTCTCCCTGTTTCCATACAAGACCAACCATGTTTTAAACACTGTGATATTCCTGGCTTTCCTCGCCTCAACACCATATAATTTTTCTAGGAGAGATCAGATTGTAAACCAGTTGAAATAGTATTTGAAAACAGAGTGAACCTTTATTCGAGACATTCCTAGCAGCTGTTGGTCTGAGAGCACATACTCTTCCTCTACCCTGGGGCTGTATTACTTCAGAGCAATTTGATCTCAGATTGGATAGAGTTCATGCTTGTTAAATAACAAGAATTCTTAGCTCTACCAATTTTCAGATAGTCTTATCTCACTTAGGAAACAAGGCTTTTTAGGAGAAAAGGTTGACTTGTAGAAATGTTTCAGCTTTTAACCCAGCTAAATATATGTTTTGCATGGGAAAACAGAACATCCATCTTTCCCCCCCCCCCTTTAGATGTTTCAGTAGCCTCTCTGCACTTCCAGATTATCAAGCGAGGCGCTGACTGGCATACACACAATACGTGGGCAGCAGCACAGCCATTCAAAGCACCCAGGCACAGCAATCAAGGACAGGATGGGACCAACCCAAGACTCATTTGTAATCCTGACAGGTCTCCAGGCTACACAGCCCCTCCAGCAGAAACCCAGCTCCACGGGAGGGCTGCCTCCAGTGAGCTCCAGCAGCAGGCAGTTCCTATCCGATGCCAGAGTTACCTAAAGCTCCTGTGATGGGGCCATTTGTGGTGTAATCCAAGTATTTCTGCCGTCCCAGGGCTAACAAGCTGCTCATAATCCCAGTTCCTATCCAGAGGCAGGTTATTCAACCTATTCTCTTTGCAAAATAACTTTGAGTCATCACCTTCTAGTCCAGCAAACATTTAATTCTTACGCAGCCCAGCTACTGGAGATAAGCAGCTCTGGAAAACCATGTCCAGCATACCTTGATCCTGAGAGTTTAAATCCTCCAGCTTATGTCCTTCCAGCGTCCAGATCAGGGTCTAAAGCAGTTGGGGTCCGGACAACAGCTCCAACCGTGCCTGCCAGGGAGAGAACACATCAGCCCCGAGATGCTAAATTAAGCTGCTAAAAATGGAGGGCCACGTGATTTTGTGCAGTGCATTGCTTATCTGTCCTGGTACTCACAGGTCATGGAAGGCTCTGTCGCTGCCCAGCAGCATTTGTGCTTCCAGATCTAATGCAGGGAGGCAGAGGGCTGACACTCACCTTGCAGAGATTTCCTGCTCAGCAGCTTAACTGCAACTGCCCCTCCTTACGCACAGAATTAAGCCAGAATTAAGACTGGCCACCACCATGCCGACAACGGCCTCCAACACGTCCCTAGGCAGCCATTTCCTCTGGGCAAAAGCCAATTCATTTTAAAAGGCAAAAGCAAGTGAAATGCCCGCCTTGTAACAGCAGGAAATATCTTCCTTGTCCCCCACTGAGGCAGGGGAAGGAGAATTAATTTTGTTTCTTGTGCCCCTTTACCAAACCAAATGCATGAGTCATCTGCTCAGCACTTTTATTCTGCGTGCACCCATCAGACAAGCAAATCTAGAGCTAGGCAGATGGAGCCAGAGCCGCTTTCCATCCTACCAGGCAGAGTCCTGCTGTGGAGCACAGGCCTGCACCACACCTTCTTTTGGCTCGCAGGCTGGACTCCGGGCTCTCCCACGTGGAACAAGCTGCTCAGCAGGCTGCACTCCCCAGCTTCTCACTGCAGCTGGCAGAGACTGTCCCATGCAGGCACCTGCAGCTGCTCAACACATACATGGCCCCCTCCTCCCATCTCCCCCTGACAGACAGACAAGGCTTTTCAGATGGTGATCACTTTTATTGATGTAAGGTGGTACACAAACAGATCAGTTTCTATCAGCCTCTCCACCTCCCCCAGGTTCGGGGAGAAGTTGGAGGAGTGGGGGAGACAAGGGAACAGAACTGGCCTCTCACTGCAGGATGCAGAGCTAAGCGGTGGTGAACAAGGGCAGGGGCTCCAACAAAGGAGTGTCCTGCTTCCCGAGGCAGCAGGGGGGCCTGTGTGCTCAGCTTACTCCTTGGATGCCATGTGGACCATCAAGTCCACAACACGGTTGCTGTATCCATATTCATTATCATACCTGGGGACAGAAAATAGGCGCTGTCAGGGCTGACTCATTTCTCACACCCCTTCTTCCATTCCTCCTGCTCCACTGCCCCATCCCACACAACTGAATTCCCATCTACCCTCTGGAGGGAAGGAGGCAGTTACAGTAATTCCAGATAAGAAACAATCTCAGTCCACGGAGTGACTGGAGATTTGTGCATCCACCTGGATCACCAGTGGTAACCAAAAGGACGCCCAAGTTTGAAACCTGTCTGTGCCAACCCCCACATGCCCAGGGCTGCACCTACCAGGAAACCAGCTTGACAAAATGGTCATTCAGTGCAATGCCAGCACCCGCATCAAAGGTGGAGGAATGGCTATCACCATTGAAGTCACAGGAGACAACCTGAAACACAAGAAATTATAATGCATATGGTTGCCCAGAGTCTCTAGTCCAAGTGCCCAAAGAGGATTCTGGCAAAGCTGCTGACACAACAGCCTTTTACAAAAATGAGGCCAAGAGCCAATAACTGCAGGCTGAGAGCAGGCATTCCTCACCTGGTCCTCTGTGTATGCCAGGATGCCCTTCAGGGGCCCATCAGCAGCAGCCTTCACTACCCTCTTGATGTCATCGTACTTGGCCTGAGGAGAGACAGATCCAAGATGATCAGATCCAAACTCACACAAAATGTCCACTGGGGACATGGGAGGGAGAAGACACACATGGGAACACCCCAGCAGGTGCTCTTTTCACAAAGATATCTTCAGGACAAGATGGATGCAGAGAGGGCAATTCCAGGTGCAATGCAGAGCTTAGAGGAAGGGGCACATCTCCAAGTTGTTAGGACCTCGTCCACAACACTTACTGGTTTTTCCAGACGGCAGGTCAGGTCCACAACAGACACGTTAGGGGTTGGCACACGGAAAGCCATTCCAGTAAGTTTCCTGTGAGAGACACAAGTCACTAAGGAACAGCATCTGACACTCCTCTGCCACTCTAGGAATGCTCTGCCTCCTCCTGACATCTGAGAAGGGACAAGACTCACCCATTGAGCTCAGGAATGACTTTTCCCACAGCCTTAGCAGCTCCAGTAGATGCTGGGATAATGTTCTGAGCAGCACCTCTGCCATCCCTCCAGAGCTTCCCAGAGGGCCCATCCACTGTCTTCTGTGTGGCTGTGATGGCATGGACAGTGGTCTGAGGAAAGAGCACAGGAATAAGAACACAGCCAATACTCTCCAGAAAGAGCATCCCAGGTGACAGATGCTTTCCCTCTCACATGAGGGGATCTGTGGTATGTCACCCTCCTCAGCACCAAGCTGCAGACCTACCATGAGACCCTCCACAATGCCGAAGTTGTCATGGATGACCTTGGCCAAGGGCGCCAGACAGTTAGTAGTGCAGGAAGCATTGCTGGGGTAGAGAGATAAAGGCACATCAGCCAGCAGCAACACTCCTACTGAGGTGAAGTGAGACCCCCTGGCAGCTGGCGAGAGCTCCAGGCCAGAAAGCATGCTACTCTCCTTACCTGACAATTTTCAGAGATTTGTCATACTTCTCATGGTTGACACCCATCACGAACATGGGAGCATCAGCAGAGGGGGCAGAGATGATCACACGCTTGGCACCACCCTTCAGGTGAGCCTGGAGAAAGAGAGGTAAGAGATTACATAACTCAGGATCCTTCCAAGCTTGCTTCTTCAGATCTCTTCTCCTTCAGTCCTATCTTGAGCAGCTCTGTAAATGGTGGTGTGCCCGACAGGCAGAAAGCAGCACTATCCCTTCTCTCCTATGCCTCTGTGGCATACTCACCCCGGCCTTCTCCATGGTGGTGAAGACACCAGTAGACTCCACAACATATTCAGCACCAGCATCTGCCCACTTGATGTTGCTGGGGTCACGCCTAAGGACGGACAAAATTTTACAAGCTGCTCCATGAAACAGTTGCTTTCAATCTCTAGAGAAGCAATCAGGAAAGAGATACTTACTCCTGGAAGATGGTGATAGCATTCCCATTGATGACAAGTTTCCCATTCTCAGCCTTGACAGTACCCCGGAAGTGGCCATGAGTAGAATCATACTTGAACATGTAAACCTAATAAAGAGAGGGGAAGCAAAAGGTCAGGCACCCAGGCTGCCATCACCTTCTAACACCCGTGGAAGCTACCAGAACAGATCCACAGGAGCCCTACTCAGAAAGACCCAGAGGGGGCACTGCAATGCAACTCACCATGTAGTTCAGATCAATGAAGGGATCGTTGATGGCCACCACTTGGACTTTGCCAGAGAGGACAGCAGCCCGGGTGACCAGGCGGCCGATACGGCCAAATCTGGAGAGAGAAAAACACGGGTGAGGAGGTGCAACAGAGAACCAGCCCAGCTGGGCATGGGAGGCAGTCCTTGGCAGCCTTCCCTCGGGATCATCAGCTGCTCCCTGCCCGGCAGGGCGGGAGGGAGCCCTGCAGCTCGTCCAAAGGCCAAGGCACCCCGCTTAAAGATTAAGAACGACCCCCGCCCCAGAAAGGTCAATCGCTAAATTTACAGAGAGCCCCGGGGATCCGGTTACTCCTCGGCCCGGCACGAGAAGGTCACATCCCCGGGGCCACCATCGACACACGATCCACTGAGAGACCTTTTGGTGGGGGGCTGCAGGGATCCCCGGGAATAGGGAGGGAAACTGGGGCAGCCGAGCAACGGCAGCCCGTTCCGGAGTGAGTCACCCCGAATCCGAGCAGAAATGAGTCAGCAGCACCGCTCGCTGCCCCGGGGGGCGCCGCCGGAGCGGGACCGGCAGGATCCAACCTCTCCCCAAATCTTCCCCCCGCGCCCTTGAGGCGACCTTGCCGCTCCACCACAACCCCCCTCGAAATCCCTGCTGGTACTGTCGGCCCCGGCACTTACCCATTGACTCCGACTTTCACCATCTTTACCGCTTCGGGATGTTCCTGTGGGCAGAAACCATCAGCGGGGGAATGAGAGGAACCGGCACCAGCCGCCCTCCGAGTCGCGCCCTCAGCCGGTGCCGTTAACGTCTCGCCCTCGCTGAGGGGCGAACGGTCATGGGGGGGGGGGGGGCGCGAGGCGAGCTGGCGAGCGGGGGCCCGCGCTCCGAGCTAGCCCCACCCCCCAGGCGATCACTCCCCCGCCTCGGGCGATTAACCCACCTGCCCCCCCCGCGACAATTACCCGCCCCCTCCTCCTCCTCCTGCGGCGACCATCTCCCCCTCACACCCCTATCCGTCCTCGCCTCACCGCCCCCCGTCAGGCCGCCCCCGCCATTTTGCGCCGCGCCGCCTTTGTGCCCCTGGGCCCCGCCGCCACGCGGCCCCGCTCCGCCCGGGGGCTGCCGCACCCCCTGCCGGCAGGCGGTGCGCCTGTGTGGGGAGAGGGCTCTCACACGCCCACCGCCCGCCGCCACCGCTCTCTCCCCCCGCGCATCTCCGCCGCCCCGCCCGTTACCTGCTGCCTCCGAACCGCCCGGCGCGCAGTGAGGAGGTGGCGCAGCGCCTCTCCGCCGCCCTTTATAGCCGCGTGAGGGTAGGGCGGGGGCCCGCCCCGCCGCGACGCCGTCGAATGGCAGCGCGGGGGCCGGACTGGGCTACGTGCGCCCGTGCCGCGGGTGCGGCTGCCGAAGAGCCCCCCTGTTTCCCCCGCCCCGCCGTCCCCCGTTAACAAAGGCCCCGCTCTGGGAATGTAGGGTCCGTAGCGATCGCCCTCCCGTCGAGCCACCCCAAGGGGGTTGGTGGTGCAGGTGGCGGTGGTGAAAGATGCACCGGTCCTTGGTCGGAGGTGTCCCCAGAGCGGGGATGGGTGGCTGCACCCCTGCCCGAGGAGGCAGAGAGGGTGAGAGCCGGTCAGGGGCTGCTCCCGCCGGGCCCGCTGCTGCTCCGCAGGATGGTATGCGCTGCTTTCACCTGGTAACAAAGGGCAGGTAGCCACCCGCCCCGGCTGCAGCCTGTGCCCAATTGGATGGAGTAGTATCCAGTATCCGAAGGGACCTACAGGGAAGCCGGAGAGGGACTCTTCGTCAGCAGCTGTAGTGATGGGAAAAGGAGTAATGGGTACAAATTGAAAGGGAGGAAATTTAGGATGGATATTAGGAAGAAGTTCTTTACTGTGAGGGTGATGAGGTACTGTAACACGTTGCCCAGGGAGGCTGTAGATGCCCCAGCCATGGCACTGTTCCAAGCCAGGCTGGATAAGGCCTTCAGCAACCTGCTCTAGTGGGAGGCGTCCGTGCACGTGGCACGGGGATTGGAACTGGATAATCTTTAAGGTCCATTCCAACCCCTTAACATTCCATGATTCTATGGCTGCAAGGCTAAAGGGACTGCAGGGATGCTCGGGTCATCCCGAGGGAGCAGCGGATCTCCAGGCGTCCCCCCACTCCCCCCGGCACGGGAGGTACAGTCTGGGAGTTCTCCCGCCTCCAGGCTGCGACCCCCCTCTGGGTGGGCTTATTCAGGCGTGCTCTGGACGGGGCCCCTGGCCGGGCGCTGCCCCAGCAGGCCACGGGCGGCAGCGTGAGCACCATCTTAATGAGGCACTGCGGCACTGCTGCCGCTGCCCGCGGGACGTGACGGCGGAAATCCTGCTCGTCTGCCGCCTCGGCCCGCCTTCCCTGCCTGCCTGCGAGGAGGAAGCGCTCCTGGCATGGCCGCTGCCCGGTTCCCCGCCCCCCATGCTGGGCTCCCTCACCGAGCCCTGCCGCCTCCATTCCCCCGGCTGCGTGCGGGGCAGGTGCGGCGGGACAACCCCGCCTTAGGTACAACGCCCAGAGCACGCACAAATCCCAAATCTCCCATCCCCGAGGAACAGTGGGGATGCAAATCTGGGCTGTCAGAGCAGGTGGGGGTGGCGGGAGCTGATATGTCCCTCTGGCTACTCAGCTGAGCAGGGCTTTGAAGATAAGGGAGGGGGTGGGCAGGCTGGGGGAACCACGCAGGTACTGGGGTGGGGGACAAGAGAGGGGTCATGCAGCTCAAACGTAACCCTACTCTCCTTAAACCACTGCTATTCCCGGTGCTGCTGAGGGGCTGGTGGCTAAGTTTAGACCCAGCTGAGGTTACAACCTTTTCTTAAAGGCCAGGACATGGTGATGGCTCGCGGGGCACAGCAGCAGGGCTACGAGCTGGTGCCGGGGTCGGTGGCGCCCAGGCCGCAGCCCACCGAGGCGGGCTCTCGGGGGAAGCTTCGGCGCAAACAGGAGGCCCCGGTGTTTGTTCTGGCGGGGGCAGAGTGCGGCCGGGGTGAGCAGCGCGGCCCTTGTGCCCTGCGCCCGGTCGATGCCTCACCCGTGTCCGCCCCCCCGGCCGCACCGCGCCGCAGCCGCGCGTGCCGCACGCCCCACGCGGAATGGCGGCGGCGCCGGCCGGGCCCGGCACGGCCCCGCGCGTGGGGCCGGGGGCGCCGGGCGGGCTCTGCCACCGCCTCCCGCCCGCCCCCGGCCGGGGCAGCCACCGCGGAGCGCGGACGCGGCAAATTAGTACAGCTTGTTTAATGAGCGAGTCCTCAGGCACGGGGAGCAAGGAGGGGGCTGCCGGCGGAGCGGGGGTTCAGCGGCCGCGGGGGGCAGCCGCGGAGCCGGGCAGCTCCTGCTCGTAGCGCCGCGCCGCTTCCTCGCTGCCGCAGCCTCCCGTGTTCGGGGCGGGAGCTTCAGGGCTTCGCGCACGGTGCGCCGTGCTGGTTGCCGGCCGTGCAGGTTCCCGAGGCTGGGTGCCCTCCGGCTGCGGAGAAGCGGGCCTGGTGAGCCGCCCAGCGGCGTCCCGCCCGCCTGCGCTCGCCCCGGCCGGGCCCCCGCACCGCGCCGGCAGCACGGGTGTCCCCGGGGCCCGCCTGTGCCCCGGCAGCTGGCAGGTGGTGGCCGCACAGCCTGCCCCGCTGCCCCATCCCCTCGCTGTCTGTGCGCTCAACTCTGCCCTCAACTTTCTCCCTGCCCGCTCGCTCGAGCCCACGTTCTTATGCCCCTCACCTTGGAGGCCCTCCAAAGCTAACACCCCAAACCACTGAAGGTCCCGATTCGGTCCAGTTTCAGCCCGAAGCAACCCCTGGGCATGGCCTTCCAGGCCCAATCTCCAGGCAGTCCCCACTTGCGACTGGAGAGGTTCTTGCGCCAGAGGGATGGACGGGCAGCTCTAGCCCCAGATGGGAGGAAGGGGAGAGCGGAGGAGAGCAGCTGAGGACCGAAGCTGGATCCCTCTTTTGTGTCCTCCTCGGTCAGCGTGGACTTGGGCTCCAGGGGTAGCAATCGTGAAAGGAGCATCTGGGATAAATGGAGGAGAGCAGGGTGATGCCTGTGCATCTGGTGATAAGCCTTGTACCCCCTGGTACCCCACTGCCCATACCCTCCTGAGGACTCAGGCAGGACATTGAAGTGATGCCTGCTTACAGCACTGTGCCTGTGACATTGCATCCAGACACAGGGAAGGGCTTGACCAGCAGCTCCCACTGTCTGAAATGACTTTGTCATCCAAAACAGCAGGCAGACATCTGCTGTGATCTCTGCCTGTGGGCAGATTGCCCTGCTCTTGTAAAACCGCACACACATCCTGCCCTGCCCCAGATTTGGAAGGTAACTCTTCAGTCCTTGCTCCTTTTGTGGATGCTGAGCATCTCTGTGTGCTCAGGCTGCTGTGTACTATTTCATTTTTCCAGAAGGCTGCTGAGAAGGATGGTCCTGACTCCTGATAAACACCTAACACCTGATAAAGATGAGGGAGAGGCAGGATCAGAGCAGGTGTGAGGAAGAGGTACTCCCCATCTGCTGGAAATCCTCTGGGTTAGCTGTGCTGACTGTAAATCCTCAGCACTGCTGGGAGACAAGTCCTGGGGGGTATGTTGGGTGCAGTGGAGGCATGGCATTGCTGTCCACAGAAGCAGCCTGCAGGAGCCGTTCTACATCTGTCTCTCACATGGATGCTGAGCTACGGCTGAGGATGCCTTTGTGCAGCTCTTTGTGGTAGCAAGTTAACTGAAGCGGACACAGGCATCCTCAGCAAGGAGTGAAAGTGGTGAGTCATAGCAGGATCAGTCTTGTGATTTTAGTTCATGTCCTGACTATTTCCCTGTGGCTTTCCCAGGGTGATGTAAAGGCAAGGTGCTGGGGCTCAGGTTAGGGTTTGGGTAAGAGGGAGCTGGCTAGATTGGAAAGTCAAAAATATTATTGCTGTAATTGCAAAGAATAGAGATTTACTCAAGCTAAGAACCCCTTAGTTGGCATCCTGACAGGGCTCTTGGCCTTAAAGAGGGTCTTTAATGGGGGTAATACTGAGCTTAGGAGCAAAACTCCTGGCCTAACAGGATGCATCTTCCCCCTGAAATATCAGAACCAGAACCATGATGAGAGGCAGGACTGTAATATCTGGTGGCTGCTGACACGGAGTGGGCTTAGAAAGGACCAGGCCCTTCACTGTTAAAAGCTTTTACAGAGCACTAAAAAGCTTTTGTCTGTTTCCTGTCTCGAAATGCTGGTGCTCCTTAGGGACTGGATTATAAAGTCACCCTAGAGCTGAGGCTGCTGAAGGGGAGAGTGCAACAAGAATAGACAGCAGCTGTCTTGTATTTGGAATTTGGGACCACCTCTCATTTGAGGTTCAAACATACCCTCCCTCCTCCTCCTCCCCTTCTGAAATTAACCTCATCTCTGTCCTACTCCCTCCTACCTGTAGCCTCTGTCCTGGTAAGGACACAGTCTGAACGCTGGCAGAGAGCAGAACCAAGAAGAGGAAAAATGAGCAAGGCCATGACTGAAGCCCCAGCATCTTCTTCTTAGCCCAGGGCTGGTGGGAGGCAAGGCAGGACTCGCAGCTTCCATGTAGGATGTGGTCCCTAGCCCCTCTCTGCCTTTATAGCTTTGGTTCTGGCAGGGACTGGCCCCAGCTCCCTGCTGAACCACCCCCTGGAGCTCCTTAACCTTTCAGCCCTTTTGTCCAGGGTGATATATTTCAGGGTGAGCTCAGCAAGACCCCTTCCTCTAAAGAAAAAGGACACAAAGGTGTTTACTGAGTGTCTGGGAAGACAAATGTGAGTTGAGCTGCTGCTGGCCAGGACCTGGAGGTGTCTATCAGGGTCAGGGATGGGGTGACACACTGAAATGCATCCCAAAAGGAGGCTATTGAAGGCTGCATTGTGTAGGAGTATTGAACATACTCCTTATAGGTAGAGTGCTGTTAATACTATTTCTCTGATCAGTGTGAGCATGAACTGCAGCTAAGTTAGAGGTAGGCACACTGCTGGCTGCACAGAATGGACAAAAATTCAGGTCTGTGACAACACAGGCTTGTTTTTAATATTTATAATTTAGTGAGACAGTTGGGCTGGGAATGAAGAGCTCCTGCTGCAGAAGGTGGGTGAATTTCAGTACTATACAGAATTTGTAGCAGTGACAGGAGCGTGGGTCTAGTACTATTAGCATATAGTTTGCGGGCTGTCTGTCCCAAGTCACCATCTGGAGGACTGGGCTGAGTTTCCAGAGGAACCGTCACAGAAAAGAGCTTGTTGAGACTCGGCTTGCACTTTGTCAAGCTCAGGCACACAATGGGAGCAGGATAGCAAGGAGCAGATTCCTACCTCCTAAATCTTCTGGCCATTAGTTCCCCCCACATTGTTTACCTCTTCCATTTTACTGTAGTTTCTCACCAGCTGAACAAGGCAATGAGGTCACTGTTTAGAGATCAGGGTGTAGAAGTCAGCCTGGGTATGAAGGCAGAAACTAATCAGCGAAGTTTGTCAGGGGAGAGGAACAGGGGGACTGTACCCCAGTACAGGATGAGCAGTGGGTGTGCTGTTAACATCACCCTGGACTTCCCTTTGTTCAGTACTGTTGCACAAAACAGTCAGGTCAGAACTCTACAGAACATGTTCTTCTGCCTGCTTTTGTTTATTTTTTTCAAAGAAAGAAGAAAATTAGAAAAAGGTCTTCTCCAGAGATAAAAAAAGTCACAGTTCAGATTATTTGCTCAGTCTCTCTTTCCCTCCTTCCCTCCCTTTCTTTCTTCCAGGCATTTTGCACTTGCAGATGCAAGTTTGTGGGTCCATTTCTTCTCTGCCCAATGAGATAGAAAGTTTTACAAACCTTTTGCATCCAGTTCTTAAGAAGTGAGTATGGCCCTTCAGTCTGGAGCACTGATGCCGGAAGCAGTGCTTTGCACAGCTGTGGAAATCCAATTTTGTTAGCTCCAGCTGATTGGTTGGTGCTGTGTCCAGAGCGATGTGATGCTCTAGTGATCCTGTCTGACATTCCTGTCACCCTCTTGCCTGGGCCAGCACAGGGAAGGGCTCCCAAAATCCCACCAAGAAACTTTGTGGGAAACAGGATTACTTTAATACCAACCTTTGAATCTACAAAGCACAGGGGACTGCTGGACAGTCACGGGACAGGCACCCCACGTGGGCATTTGGATGTGGTGCCTGGGCACAAACGGGGTGCAGGATGTGTGTGCACAGCCAGCCCCTCCTTGTGCTGGATGCTGTAGTGTAAGGAGCCCTGTGGTGTGAAAGTTCCAGAGGGATGGGAAGGAAAGGAAGGACGGGAAGTCAGCACATGTTTGTGCTGCATGCAAGGTGTCCCAGAGGATGCTGTTCTGTACTTCCCAGTCACATGGGGCTGTCCAGAAAAAGCTGAGTCAGTGTGCTTGAGCACTCCTGCTGCCGGCAGGAGCAGCTCCGCTGGAACACACTGGTTACATGAGTCAGAGTCACTCCTTTCCTGACTGAAAGGTAAGTGCAAAGGCAACAATGCTTTGGTTTTGATATGAACTGTAGCACCAGTTTGATCTGGCATCCCTTGAACGGGGTGGCCCCCATACTGCAAGAAGAATGCCAGAAATGTGTTTGCAACTGCTCCAAAATTCCAGTTCACTTGCACAAAGACAGCCCTGCAGGGGTGGACAGGCTCTGACAACTCAAATAAGTGCCCTCGTTGGGTTCAGCAAGAGCTGGGGCTGGCAAGAGGGAAAGAGCCATCACTCTCCCATATCAAACAAGAAACTTCAGACTGCAGAAAATTTGCAACTTTTCTTGCAGATTCTTGTAAGTTCTTGCAAATTCAGCAAAGTCTGGATAAAATGCAGGTGCTCAGTGGCACAGGTGCCGTGATGTTGCAGCTGCTCCATGTCCCAGATCCTTGCTGGGACTGCAGTAGAACTGAATAGTTACTCTGATATGTCCTGGCAATGACTGTGCAGTGAAAAGGCTTTGACAGGCAAGTCCTCAATTGCCCCAGTTTTCTCAGACTCAAATAGGTTATTGTCCTTGTTTCCTCTCTGATGCTAACAAGTTTCCTTTATAAAAACCCTTCCTCCTTGGGTGCTGGGGCACTGACTCTAGGGCTTGCAAGACCAGA